CTCACCAGTCACATAGTATTCCCATTAACACTCCTTAAAACAATGTACATATATTAAAAAACCAGAATGTGAAATGGCTGATCCCTGGGCTTGGACAGAGAGTAAGTACAAGATGAACCTGGAACATCTTGTTAAGTCAAGATGTAATAAAATGTTCAGAGGAACTCCACTGGCTAAATCTGAGACAATCTGAGCACCAGAATCATTAGCATAGTTTTAAAAAAATGACAAACCATTAAAAAAAAAAGAAGAAGTATTTCATTTCCAGACAGACAGACTCTAGTGGGCTTTATCACAGTAAAAAAAAAAAACCAAGTGAGAAATGTGCAAGAACGGTGGTGGTGTTGTTAGCAAACTGTGACTTCACCAACCACAGTAAAGAACTGCTTCAAACCAGCCATGAGTGGCTAATACTTGCAATCCTAGCTACTCAGGAGACTGAGCTGAGGATCACATTTTGAAGGAGACAGAGCTGAGGCTTACAGTTTGAAGCCAGCTCAGACAGGAAAGTCTGAAAGACTCTTTTTCTTCAATCTGACTCTTTATCTTCAATCTATCACCAAAAAAGCCTGAAGAGGAGCTGTGGCTTGAGTGGTACAGAACTAGATTTGAACAAAAGCTCAGCACCCAGACTTTGAGTTCAAGCCCAAAGACCAAAAAATAAATAACGAAATAAATGAAAACCTGCTTTACCACTTCAAGCAAGAATCATCAATAGATTCTAAGTGAAAATTTGTTAAAGATATGTATATGGTGCTAAAATGTCTCTCCCAAAGGGGAAAGTGACTAAAGAGAAATACATAACTGGGTAATCAAAATTAATATTACCAAGGAAGATGACATTGTGTACATCTGGATATATAAATTCCTAACCTAGAATATAAAATCTATTTGTTTTGTTGTACTATGGTTTGAACTTAGGATCCTGCACTGGCTAGGTAAGTGACCTCCCCAATTTAAACTATGCTACAAAATCTAAACTAATCATAGCAAACATCTGACAAGCTCAAAACAAAAGACTTTATATTAAATCAGAACTTTCAAAATAGTTAATGTCATGAAAGACAAAGCAAGAATATGCTTAGAAGAAATATTTATAGATTTTTTTATAGCTGATTCTCAGGCTCTAAAGATATTCAGCATAATCAAAACACTTTTGCAGAGATATAATAAGAAAAACTATTAATAAATGAATAACTCAATTTAATTAAATCAAAAACCACAAGTGGAAAGTTAATAAACTTACTTTCAATTGCAAAAAGTTTTAGCTAACAGTCTAATCCATGTCCTGTTATCTTTTCCTTGCTCAAACTATTTTTACCAGCAATGTATTAGGGTTCCAATTTCTCTAGATCCTTGTTTTCAGTTTTAGGATAGCCATCCTAATGAGTGTTATTCTGTGTATTTTGTCCTTAACCCTAGTTACAGTAAGATGAATATTTGATTCTCCAGTTGTAGAAGCTGGGTACAAGTCAGCAGGTTGTTATTAAAATAGAGAGTTATTTCAAATAACAAGAAGCCAAATGTGTATAAGTATATCCAAGAGATGAAATCCCACCTAGTAAAGATACCTGCACAGAATCCTACACAAAAGTAAAACAGATGTGTTTTCTGATTCCACAAGAAGTAACTGCAGGGGTATAAACTTGTATGAAATCTCTAAGGACTAACAAGGTCACTTTGAATCCCAGACACCTCTAAAATCAGGAAATGCCTGAAACCACTGTGGATTAGAATACTGAGCTCTGACTGTAATAACATCATATCCAATCTACCTAATTCACAACATGTTCAAATACAAGTACAGAAATTGGGCTGGGCGCTGGCGGCTCACGCCTGTAATCCTAGCTACTTGGGAGGCTGAGATTTGAGGATCGTGGTTCAAAGAAAATCCATGAAACTCTTATCTCCAATAAGATATCTCAAACTACTATTACTAAACTCAGAGAATAAAAAAAAAAGACTTATCTCTCCCATTTATTAAAAAAATTACTAAGCAGGGAGCAGGTGGCTCACGCCTATAATGCTAGCTACTCAAAGGCTGAGATCTGAGGATCATGGTTCAAAGCCAGCCCAGGCAGGAAAATCCGTGAGCCTATTCCAATTAACCACCAGAAAACCAGAAGTGTGCTGTGGCTCAAGTGGTAGAGCGCTACCCTTGAGCTGAAGAGCTCAGAGACAGTACCTAAGACCAGAGTTCAAGCCTTATTATCAACCAAAAAATAATTACTAGAACATTTTGGGAAAAAATGTGAAGCTCATAAACAAATTTTAAGACATAATTACTATAAATATTCAGCTTTAAAGAAACACCTTAGCTGAAATTCATAAAGCTAACAAGAAAAGAAAAAAGTACCACTTTCAATAATTTTTAAATGAGACAATATTTAAGGATACTACTAAGTATAAGAATTGGAATAATTTCTGCATTCTCCTAAATCAAAAATTATTACCAATTATAAATTGCACCATTATTTCATATTTTCTTGAGTTCAAAAAAGCACGCCAATTCAAAATGATACACCAGACATGGTGACTTCTGCCTGTATTCCTAACACTTGGGAAATTGGGGCAGGAGAATCTTGAGTTTAGGGCCAGCATGAGCTAAATAGTGAGACTCTGGCTAAATAACAACAAAAAAATCCAACAATAAAACATATGAGGGTCAGGGGAATGGAAGGTAAGAGATAGTCTTATTAAAATGCACAACATGTACAACACAAGCCTCCTTTTGTACAACTAATGTAAGCTAATTTAAAAAATCAACAAAAAGGACATATGCCGGGGGTACTGGTGGCTCGTGTCGATAAATCCTACCTACAAAAGGGACTGAGACCTGGAGGATCAAAGTTTGAAGTCAGCCTGGGCAACAAAGTCCTTGAGACTCCATCTCCAATTAAAGAGTAAAATGCTTGACTAGGGGTGTTGCTCAAGTGGTAAAGTACCACCTGTGAGAAAGGAAGAGGCCCTGAGTTCAAGCCCTGGTACTGGTGTGTGTGCACGCATGCACACACACTCATGCGTACACACACAAAGTATATATTCACTTAGAAGATGCCTCTCAACTTTAAACACATTAAAATACTTAAAAATAAGCTGGGCACCGGTGGCTCACGCCTGTAATCCTAGCTACTCAGGAGGCTGAGATCTGAGGATCACAGTTCAAAACCAGCCCCGGCAGGAAAGTCCATGAAACTCTTATCTCCAATAAAACCACTAGAAAACCAGAAGTGGCACTGTGGCTTAAGTGATACAGCACTCGCCTTGAGCTGAAGAACGCAGGGACAGCGCCCAAGCCCAGAGTTCAAGTCCCATGACCGACCAAAACATAAAAATAAAATAGAATAGAATACTTAAAAATTAGTATATTAGAACAGACATACTTTCTCAATCTATAACACAAAAACTCCTACAAACCCATATAAACTTCTTTTCCAAACACATGAAAAGTCAATACAAATTCAATTTTTAAAAGATCAATAAATAAGCAATGCTGACACAAGTACAAAAATATTCCGAACAAATATAACAAGATAATTTAATTTAAACAAATGATTTCTAAAGTATGGAAGTCAATAACTTAAACACCTAATGACTTTCAAATAATGCAGGTGATGGGCTGGGAAGGTAGCTCAGTGGTAGAGTGCTTGCCTTGCATGCATGAGGCCCTGGGTTCGATTCTTCAGCACCAAATAAGCAAACAGAAAAAAAAGCCGGAAGTGGTGCTGTGGCTCAAGTGGTAGAGTGCTAGCCTTGAGCTTCATGAAGAGCTCAGGGACAGTGCCCAGGCCCAGAGTTCAAGCCCCATGTCCGGACCCAAAAAAAATAATAATAATAATGCAGGTGATCAAGACCTTTTAATCCAATAGTCACAAGTGCCAGCACAGAACACTCTCAAATACTATAGAAAAAAACTGAATGAATGCATGATTTTTCAGTATATACTATAGACACATGGACTAGTTTCTAAATTTATGGGCTTAAAGTACACTGTGACACTGTTTCATAAACAAGGGAAAGATGTAAAAGAGAGAGAGATCTTAGCCAGGTGTGGTGGCACCTACCTATAATACCAACATTTGAGAGGCTAAGGCAGGAAGATTAACAAGCTGGAGGCCAGCCTAGGCTATAGAATGAGGCTGTCTTAAAGCACAAAGATAAGACTTTCTGAGAGATACGTGAGGGACCAGAGACAAGTAACCTTGAACTGTATTTTGGGGTTTATGTACAAAATACTATAGAATGAGGCTGTCCCAAAATACAAAGAAAACATTTTCTGAGATATGTGAGGAAAGAAACAAATCAGCTTGCATTATATATTGGGGATTATGTACAAAACAGAAGATTTTGCCTTACTACTTTAGCTTCTAGGGGGGAAAAGGTATAAAAACTCATGGTTTCATTTCACTACTCCCATTATATAGTTAACATAATGACCTAAAATAAATGATCTGACATGCCAAAAACTGAATTCAGAACTGATGACCATTCATCTATCCAATTTTCCTTTAAAACAATGCACTTCCCTCAAATTTAAGTTACAGGTAACAAGTGTATAAAGTTGTTTGTGAAATAATGTTAACAAAAAATACCTAATTTTACAGGTCTAAACTTCACAAACTCCACAAATTCAGTAGAAGCCTCAAACATTTTCAAGGACTCTAAGAAAAATGCAAGTCAAATACAGAAACAAGACAATAGTAATTCAGTCATCACCTTTTGGGTCCTGAAATATTTCTGCAACTTCACCATGTTTTAGTAGTTAATTCTAATATATAAAACACTGCTCTCAAAAATCACTGGAATAATAAGTTTTTTGTTACTGGCTATTTTCAGAAAGGGTATTACTACTGACCTATGAAAACCACAACTCACTGAAAATGTTCACTGAATGCATCATATATCGCCAAATACATTACTCTCTTAAGTTTAAAATCACTGAATTTAGAAAAGCATTAAGCCTAGTTGACACATAATAGCCACAAAATTGTAATTCCCACCTATTAAAGCCTGAAAGAGGTTGCTTTGAAATATGTTAATAACTCGTTCAATGGAACTTCTGAGTTGTCTATCTTCAGTTTGACTTAGTTTTGAGCGATAATCTTCCAACAGGTGCAATGCTCTCTGGGTATCTGAAAGGAAAAGTTTAATATTATTATACATGTATCTAAATGTACATATAAATTTTTTACAAGAAATCACATATAAGCACAAATGGTTCTACAAGACATCTAAACAGTTCCTCAAATCCTCTAAATCAATAGTTCATGTAAACAAATTCCCTAGGATGAGCAAGAAAAATTTTAAACATTTATCACACCAGGGAAAAAAACAACTAAGAAAGTCAGCAGTTTGTAATCATGTATACTAGTAATTTATAACAGTAAAAGTCTACCTAATCAAAGTATTTGAAATTTAGTTTCAGATTATTTGGTAGACAACAAAGGCAGTTCATTTACACTGTCAATATACTCCAAATTCTAGGTGTTTCAAAACATTATTTCTTAGTATCTCACAGTTGCCCACACAGTAAGGTTTAAGAATGATAAAATTAATTACTAAAACACCAATTCAGAGTTGTTTTTTTTTTAAAGGACAGGGTGGGACAGTTAACAGCTTCTCTAATCACTGAAGAGACACTGTAAAGTAAGTTTAACAAACGTGTAAGGGGTTTCCATCTTCTGAAATGTGAGGATAGAATCCCTAAGCAATAAAGGTAGCACACGACTGTTTCTTTCGTTACACCAATATTTTTTTTTAAAAAGGCAATCACCAAACTGTCATGGGGGAAAGCAAGTGACATTCCCAAGAGAGTCCCGAAATAAATTCTCACCTTGCTTCCGGACCGGCATTTTTCTCCAGAATCAGGAAGCGGGCACACACCTTTAAAACACACACACACAAACGATCAGGGATTCAAGTTAAATTAGCATTTTCCTAAGAGTGGAAAAACTTCCAGCCTTATCAGAAATGCCCACATTCCAAAGTTTCCCCAAGTCAGAGGAAGAGCCTTATCCCCTCCGCAGGGCCAGCCCACCTACAAACGCTTCTCTTCCGAGGTGGGGTCCCCCTCCAAGCCTTCCTCCCCCCCCCACATAGGTGCCTCACAGCCAAGAAGCTAAGCAACCACACCCCCACCCACTCCTAGGGGGGAAGGCGCTCCGACCCTCGGGCCCCCCCCCCACGCCAGCCGCCACCGGGGCGCGCGGCGGGGATCTCCCGGCTGGTGCCCCCGCCCCGCTCCGCTCGGCCCCCCTCCCCTCGCTTGCCTCTCTCCGAGCTCGGCTCCGCCAGCGGGGGCCGGACAGAACAGCGGCCGCTCTCCGCGACGCCCTCGCGCCCCACATGCACACCTCCGCGGGCCCCCCACACCTGCGGCGCCGCCACCAAGTTCCCGCGAGCGGCGGACGCAGGGTGCGCTCCGGCCGGAGTCGGAGCAGTTCCCCCGCCCGGCCCCGTTCCACGTACCCCGCCCCGCCCCGGGCCAGAGGAGCTCGGCACAGGGGGTGAGGGGACGGGAGGGGAGGAGCTCCCTTCGGCGGCCGCACCCCCACGGCCTCTCCCGGCACCTTGGGACGCGGCCCGCAAACTCGCTCGCCCGCTCGCCCACTCGCCTCTGGGCCGCCCCACCCCCGGAACCTCGCCTCTTTCCGCGCCCCCAGCCGCTCTCCCCCCAAACTTTCCGCCAAGATGGCGGCCCCGAGCTGGATTGCCGCGCTCCCACGTGACTGCCTTCCCCGCGCTCTCAGCCAATCAGAAGTGAGGAGGCGGCTCGCGCCGAGCCCCGGGCTCGCGGCGCCGCTACCTTTGAGCTGCACAGGGGAGGGGGACGCGAAGCGGGTTGTGGAGCTGCGAGGGGGACGGGTGGGCTGTGCCCGGGGAAGCGCCTGGTTGAAAGGCGCGGCTGTCCGAGTGGCTCCGGAAACAAAGGAGTTGACACAGACTCTACAGGTGGTCCGGAGTGGCTTCGGGACAGCCCGCCTTCACGACGCCCAGAGCCCACCGCACGCGGCGGCCTGGGGCTCGGAGTGCGCCCCGCCCCGCCGGGTGGAGGTGCGGGGAGGGACGTGGCCTCACCTACCCCCGACCCGAGACTTAACCCCACTGACCACGTGCTGTCTCCAGATTTCAAGGCAGGAACGATCGTCTGGCGTCCCCGGGGATGGGTCCCCAAAGGGGAAAAGCGGGCTTGCAACATTAATTGCGCCACCCACGTTTGGGGGCGGAGGAGGGCGGGACTTGGGGAGGGGGGGGAGAATACAAACTGGGGGTGGGGAAGAGATCTATGTTGTACTTAATGTATTTGTTGTTACCATTCGCCTCTGAGTGAAAGGTTTGAGGAATTAAGCTAGAGAATGTAAAACACGGAGGGTAATCTGATGAAAAGTTTGAGGATTTCAGAGGATTTTTAAGTCTTAGTGGTTGATACCAAATACCACTGTTCAGGGTGGGGAGAGATGGTTTGTTCATTCAGTTGTTCATTCGTTCGTTACCCTACACTTTTTTACCGGGCCAGTCATCTCAGGGCTTACTCGAGTTCTGGCGGCCCCTTTAAGAACTCACCTGTAGCCTCCTTCTGGAAACTGAGCCGCCTATACCTCTCCCTGCGCCCAGATGGTTTAAAACTCCTGCAAGTTAGAGCCTAGTTAGTTAACAGTGACCCACTCCCAACGGGGCAGTGGGGGAATCTTGGAAAGCCCTCCAAGTCACTGCCCAGCTCTCCCAACTTCTTAATGATAAGGATTTCCCTTCCCTGCTGTGAGGTCCAGGAGGAAAAATTGGCCCAAGGTCATCCAGAGTTAATGACACAACCAGAAACCCTGGATAGCATTTGTCAAAACGTTCCAGTACATCTGACAGCATTTCAGTGCCGCTGGATCCAATCGATGATGGAGGGAAGTCCGAGGAACCTTGGGCGGTACCCATAAAAGCCATTCAAGAGTTAAGCTAACCGCTGGGTTTCACTTTTGGATTCCATTTCACAATACTAATTTTTAAGAATCCCAAAATTTAAGAGCTCACTTAGATCCATAGTTAGTTGGAAGAAACTGAGATCCATTAAGTGAAAAGAACTTCCTCAAGGCCCTATAAGCTACTCAATGACAATTCTTCCAGCCCAGGGCTCTTTCCACTATAATTATGGACAACTTGATAGCGGTGTTTTTGGATACTGGCAGCAGAGGTTTTTTGTTTTGTTTTTTGATTTTTGTTTTTACTTTTCTAGATCAAACGTGCTAGGATCGTGAGCAACAGTTAAAGCAACATTACTAGAAGAAATGGACAGCGGAGTCCAATGGGGTGGACTCCTTAAAGGAGTTATTTAATAGTGAAAATGTTTGATAGCATACATTCATTATATTATCATTAGGTCTTAAATTGATGAACTGCCAATGGAATGGTTCAAAAAAAAAGAGCCATTTTGAGAATAGAATTTCTTTAGAATTCTGGAGGGAGGGAAGGCATTTGGGATAGAAATAAATAAGATTCAAGCTCTGCTCTCCCAGTACCCAAAGCCTCATAGCTCATAGACTAAGGCTTTTCCCATGAATCATCAGTGTTGTCTTAATTGTCCTGTGGAGAAGAAAAAAAGAGGAGCCAGGAGCCAGTGGCTCATTCACGCCTGTAATCCTAGCTACTCAGGAGGCTGAGATCTGAGGATCACTGTTCAAAGCCAACCCAGTAAGAAAGTCTGTAAGACACTTATCTCCAATAAGCCACTAGAAAACCAGAAGCGGCCCTGTGGCTCAAGTGGTAGAGCTCTCGCCTTGAAGAGTGCAGGGACAGTGCCCAAGCCCAGAGTTCAAGCCCTACGACCAACAAAAGAAAAAGAAGAAAAAGGGAGATATGTACCCTTGCCATCCACTGTGAAAACCTTATTTGGTTGTCAATAATACCTAAAAACAAGATTGAACCCATTATTCTGCCCTTAGTAACTAGGATTGGTTCCAAGCCTAGTATGAAGGGCTTTTCTATTTGTTCTCCATTTCTGTCCATCTATATTAGGTATTTGTAGGTGTATGACAAATTTCTTAAAAGTTTAGGAGCTTGGGGCTGGGAAGGTGGCTCAGTGGTAGAGCGCTTGCCTTGCATGCATGAGGCCCTGGGTT